TTGTTGAGTTGTAGGAGCTCTTTATTCTGGATATTAATCCTTTATCAGATATATGATTTGCAAATATTTCCTCCCATTCTGTAGCTCTGAGTGTGTTCTTTGATGTACATAAGTTTTAAATGTTGATGTCGTTTGGTTTATCTATTTTTACTTTTGTTGCCTGTGTGTGTGGTGTCATATCTAAGAAACCATGCCAAATGCAAGGTCATAAAGTTTTCCCCTGGTTTCTTCTAAGAGTTATACTTTTAGCACTCATGCTTAGGATTTTGATTTATTTTCAGTTAACTTTTGTATATGGTGAAAGTAAGGGCCCAGTGTCGTTCTTTTGCATGGACATACCCACTTTTCTCAGCACTATTTGTTGAAAAGACTGGCCCTCTTGTCAAAAATCATTTGACCATATATGCGAGGGCTTATTTCTAGCCTTTCTGTTAAATTCCATTGGTCTGCATGTCTTTATGCCAGTGTCATGCTGCTTGACTACTGCAGCTTTGCAATAATTTGAAATCTGAAAGTGTGAGATCTCAAACTTTCTTCTTTTTCAAGAGTGTCTTGACTATTCGAGGTTTCTTCAGATTCCATATGAATTTTAGGATGGATTTCTCTATTTCTGCAAAAAAAAATACCATTGGGAATTTAGTAGAAATTATATTAAATCTGTAGACCTCTTTGGGTAGTAGTGATAGCTAGCAGTATTAAGTCTTTCAATCCATGAACACAAGATGTCTTCCCTTTATTTGTGTCTTCTTTCACTTCTTTCAGCAATATTTTGTAGTTTTCAGGATACCAGTCTTTTTCCTCCTTGTTTATGTTTATTCCTGAGTATTTTATTCTTTTTGATGCTACTATAAGTGGAATTGTTTTCTTAATTTCCTTTCTGGATTGTTCATTGCTAGCATATAGAAACACAACTGATTCTGTGTGTTGATTTTGTATTCTGCAACTTTGCTTAATTTGTTTGTTAGTTCTAACAGATGTGTGTGTGTGCGTGTGTGCGTGTGTGTGTAGAATTAAAGCTCTTCTTGATGCCTATAAGGTTGGGGCAGAAGACTCTAGTTTACCCTGACTATTTCCTTCACTGACTTTCCCGGGCTTTCTTGGCTCTTTGTGCTGGAGGCGTCACTAATAACATCAGGGGAGAGATGCTATACTCCAAATGCTACCACCAGCAAGGTGCCCTGGGTTGGAATTTGGACTGAAAGGTGAACCAGTATTTTTAAGATGTATTTGGTGGTTGGTACCCCAATGCTGTAACCTTGTTCCTACACAGTCCTTACAATCATGACATCCCACCAACAGGAAAGTGAGTGCGTGTGAGAGGCCTAGAAGCCAGAAACTTGGGCCTTTCAGGAATTCCTTTGGGCCAATTTGAGGCAGAGCCTTCTTTCTTTTTTTAAAAAAAAAATTAAATCATTTTTAATTTATTGTTTGTGTGAGAGAGAGAGAAAGAGAGAGAGAGCCAGTGGGGAGAGGCAGAGAGAGAGAGGGAGACACAGAATCTGAAGCAGGCTCCAGGATCTAAGCTGTCAGCATAGAGCCCTAAGTGGGGCTCAGACTCACAAACCACAAGATCACGACCTGAGCCAAAGTCGGAGGCTTAACCAACTGAGCCACCCAGGCACCCCAGAGCCTCCTTTCTTGAACAGCATCTTGGTGCCTTTCTTGAGGAAGAGGGGGTGAACTGACTGACTCTAGGCTCTCAAGCCCATCATTTGCTGCATTAAAATCCCTGACCTGAATGACCAGTTGCACAAGGCAGCTTTAAGGAGAAGGGCCTCTGGGCCCAAGCAACTTGATGTGTGTTCAAAAAAGTATTTGATATAAGAGCAAGGAGTACACCTTAGTTGACAACAAGAGAATGTGGTTATGCCATTCCACTGTGTGTCTATCTAATTCTGTCTCAACTCCACACTAATGCTATCTTTCAATTCCTTCCACTCTGGGAAGGTTGAGCCTCTTGTTTGATATTCCATCTTTCTAGGGCCCTACCCACCACCTATGGTATGAGTTTCTTCAGACATTTCTGACCCACTTATTATAGAATCCTCTCTTTACCAAACTGATAGATAGAATTTGACCTAGAGGAAATTGAATTACCTGGGTTAAATCCCACCATCATCTCTCTCTGGGGGCATTAATCAGCCCTCAGAACCATCAGGGCTGTGTATTTGGGGGCTACTCTTAGGAGGTCTAGCCTGTACTTCTTTTTAACAGGTCTCCTGGGAACCTTATCCCACCATTTCAGGATCACCTGAAACACATGGTCATTGTGACCTAGATCATCCTCCTGTCAAACATCATCAACCTCCCGTAAAGTGGCAAAGAGAATACCAGGATTCAAGGTGATACTTGTGAAACAGGCAGTATAGAGCCCAGCCTATACCCCAGCCACATTTCAGTTTCAAATTCTGTATAGCCAAGTAGTCCAGGACCACAGAGTCAGTGTCCTCTCATGGAAACTGAAAGTCTGGCTTTGGCACTAGAAAAGAAGGATCAGAGAATTTCATGGTCTGTGGCATGAGCTTGAACTGACTATCATCAGGAGAAAAGAGTAACAAGAGGAAGAGCAGATAAAAGATCAGACCACTGTCTACATAATCCTATTTCCTGTTTTGGGGGCTCCATCTCAGCCTTGACATTTCTCTTCCTACCTAGGACTACCCGGATGCTGGTCCATGTGGTATAACATCTTACCTAGGTGCCGTCACCATCTTGCAGGCCCTACCCAATGACATAGCTGCAAATTAGGGCATCATGAAGCCCTCTTTAAGCCTTGGGACTCGAGGCCATAAGATCTTCTCTAGCCAACCCCCCACCTCCACCCTATGCTTCTGACAGACACATGGGCATACTTTAGTGTCATAGCTCAGAACAGTGACACATCTTCTGGGTGTGATTCTCTGACCAAACAGGGCCTGTCTTCCAATGTCAAGGCAAAGCCACTAGCAGACTGATCAAGCAATTCAAGAAAGACCTTTCCTTGTCTTCTTGGTTTCCTGAAAGGGATGATCTCAGATCCCTCTTCCTACACCATATGGAACTCTATTTGTTATCTGTTAGGTCAGTGGTTTTTAAAGGATTTTCCTTGGAGCTCCGTTTAGGGGGCACTAGAAGATGAAGCAAGAGGAACTTTAACCCACCCCCACCCCCACCCTCACTATTTTGGGTTCAGTCAGAGCAGTTGTCTCTTACATTTTGAGTTTCATCCTAATGTTTTTGTTAGAACAGCATATTCCACAGCCTTTTTTTTTTTTTTAAGAAAAAAAGAAAGAAAGAAACCAGTGATCTGTTCCAAAAGCACTCTTCTGCGGCTAACACTCCCAGAAGTGAAGCACACTCATTGGGTTGTACTCTCACCACAGAAGGTCGGCACTTCCTCTAGGATTCCAGCCACAATACATTATACATCCCTTCCCCCTCAGGATCACTGGACGGTAATCCTCTGGAGAGGGGACAGGATTCTGCTGAAACAGACTCTGCCTGTCCCATATAAACCATAGCCTCCACTCTCCACACAGACACAGCATTGATAGATACCTTAGGACCCCAGGGCAGCTTAGGCCGAACGCCACACCACCCAGGTAAAATATGGACACACACATAACCCTGCTGGAGATTCACTCTACTGCTAACTTCAGGGAGTCTATTCTTCCTTTTCATTGCCACCCAGGCTTCAGTCTATGACCCTCACCAGCCTTTTCTCCCTTGCACTCAGGACCTAGGGATCCCCGGTGGCCTAGCCAAGCTTGTCAAAGAGTAAAGGAGTTTGGGATGGGTTTTCTTGGGCTCTAGGATCTGAAGATGAAGCCTGAAGCCAAAATCTTATCCATTCCTTCTCTCTCAACTTATGTTGCCTACATGAAGCCACATCCTATTGCAGAGATTTCTGTTGGTGCAGAAAGGAGCAGGGCTTTGACAGTAGGCCCTGTGGGCTGGGCCCCTCTACGCTGGGCTCCTGGACGGTGCTGCTGAGACCTGACTTGCTAGATGAGCCCTGGTTTCCAGCCCCGGCTCTCCAGCTTTCTCCAAGGAACATATGATGCTTGCAGTCCCTTTCCTGGCATCTTTACTCCCAGAGGAAGAGGGAAGGCAGGGAGGGACCTGACTTGCTCTCAGGTGGCCATCCAAATCTACAGGCAGAACTTGTTCTTCTTAGTGTGAACACCTGGGGAAGGATCAGGGCAAGAGAACCAGGGAAGGCAGAAAGGAGGCAGTCGGGCTTGGTGAGGGCCTTGGAAGCTCAACGAGGGAATGAGGTGTTTGAGGTGGGAGTTAAGGAAAGGGGTCAAGGGCTTGGCAAGCTTAGGGGGATAATGCTAATGTTGGAGCCTCAGGACCCCAAGCTTCCTGCCTTTGGGAGGGGCACCCAAGTTGAGTTTGGTGCTAGACTTGGAGATTCATCATTCCAGTGTTCAATATCTGGGGATGAGGCAGTATGACGAGACAATGGCTTTCTGTGCTGTTTTTTGGCCCAGAACCTTCCTTGATTTACGCAGGAAGGGGCATTGATGGCACTGCCATCAGGCTGACTAGCAAAGGTGAATTTGTTTTCTCCTAATCCAATCTGAATACAAAGGCCTTCTCTGAGGACCCCTCCCTGAATAAGGCTGAAGTGGTCCAAAATAGCCTTTCTTGAACTCTAAGAACAGAAAGGTCAAACATATAAAAGATGTATATAGGGCTCTACCCAACCAAGGATATCAGCCAAATCATTTTCCACAAGAGAAGCAATCAGTCTTTCTTGTTTGTTTGTTTGTTTTTCCCCCAGGACCCAGGTTTTCATGGTGTATCTGGGTTAAGTTCTTTTCCTCTAGATCTGTCTGTAGATCATCCTTCCCCTCAAAGAAACCCAACCTTGCAGCCCCAGGGCATTCTCACTCCCTATACCTCTTCCCAGAGCTGGACTGTGGTGAGCTACCTACCTTCTTAAGTTCCTCTGGCTACTCTGGGGAGTTCAAGAGGACTTAGGGTCTCCAGGTCACTCCTGGATTTGTCCCCAGAGGACCGAAAGCTGTTTGTGGGAATGCTGGGGAAGCAGCAGGGTGAGGAGGACGTCAGGCGCCTGTTCCAGCCCTTTGGCCATATCGAGGAGTGCACCGTCTTGCGGAGCCCTGATGGCACCAGTAAAGGTGACTTGAGCTGACCCTGGGATTTCCTGCCTCATTCTGGACCGCATGGCCCTTTGGCCCCTGTGGCCTGAGCCACCGATCCTTCTATTCTGTCCCAGGCTGTGCCTTTGTGAAGTTCGGGAGTCAGGGGGAAGCTCAGGCAGCTATCCAGAGTCTGCATGGCAGCCGGACCATGGCGGTGAGGGCGGGCACCCGGGGCCCCGGGTGAGGCCGAGGCCGGTGGGGTGGGGACGGGCTCCTCCCCACACGCGATCGGTGCCCCAGCAAAAGGCCTAATGGGCAAAGCGCTTGGCCTAGGGCCAGGGCTGGGGTCTGGACTGGTCACGGCGGCCTCCCCTGCCCTACCCAGGGAGCCTCGTCCAGCCTCGTGGTCAAGCTGGCGGACACGGACAGGGAGCGCGCGCTGCGGCGGATGCAGCAGATGGCGGGCCAGCTGGGTGCCTTCCACCCCGCACCGCTGCCTCTGGGGGCGTGCGGAGCCTACACCACCGCGGTACGTGCCCGGCCCCAGAGGACACGGAAGGGCGGGTGGGCGGCTGGGCCAGGCCGGAGGTCGGGAGCCAGGGGAGCCGCCCGCCGCTGGGTCCTCCACAGCCGCCCTTCTTCCCTCCCAAAGATCCTGCAGCACCAGGCGGCCCTGCTGGCGGCGGCCCAGGGCCCGGGCCTAGGCCCCGTGGCCGCAGTGGCGGCCCAGATGCAGCACGTGGCGGCCTTCAGCCTGGTAGCCGCGCCGCTGTTGCCCGCCGCAGGTACTGCGCGCAGGGGCGGGGCGGCGGCTGGGACCCGGCCCGCAAGGCTGTGGCCTGACTCTCCCACCTCCTCGCCTCCAGCAGCCAGTTCCCCGCCGGGCGGCGGCCCTGGCTCGCTTCCCGGTCTGCCAGCACCCATCGGGGTCAATGGATTCGGTCCCCTGACTCCCCAGACCAACGGGCAGCCGGGCTCTGACACTCTCTACAATAACGGGCTCTCCCCTTACCCAGGTGGGCCCTCCGCTCCGCCCACATCTCCCGGAAAAGGAGTGGGGAGCGGGGAGCTGGGGGTAGGGGGGAGCAACCGCCCTGGGAAGGGACTCCTCCTCCTCTGCTGCCTATCACAACACCCCCCACCTCCCCGCCCGCCCACCTTCACCGTGGGCCTCGCGCCCCTCTCTCCCCAGCCCAAGGCCCCGGTGTGGCTGACCCCCTGCAGCAGGCCTACGCTGGGATGCACCACTACGCAGGTTTCACTTGGCGCTACGCGGCCTGGGGGGTTTGAAGGGCTCCAGAAAGGAATAGGGAAATTTGGGGAGGGGGTTAGGCTCTCTCCTGAGGAGTGGACACTCCCATCCTCCCCCCGCCCCCCCCCCGACCCCTGGGCCCAGAATGACCTCTCTAGGGGCGAGGGTTACCTGTACTGGGTTGAATTGGTCAAAGATGGCCAGGCAGATGGGGTCATGCTTGGGGGATGGCTTCTGGGGGTCACTGCCCACTCCCACTTCTGTCTCCAGCAGCCTATCCATCGGCCTACGCCCCAGTGAGCACAGCTTTTCCCCAGCAGTCTTCAGCCCTGCCCCAGCAGCAAAGAGAAGGTGAGGAACAGGGGGCTGGAGAGCAGGGCCTGGTGGGGCTGGGCACGGGTCCCTCCCCTGAACCAGCGTGCCGCTGTTCCTGCAGGCCCCGAAGGCTGTAACCTCTTCATCTATCACCTGCCTCAGGAGTTTGGTGATGCAGAACTCATACAGACATTCCTGCCCTTTGGAGCTGTTGTCTCTGCCAAAGTCTTTGTGGACCGAGCCACCAACCAGAGCAAATGTTTCGGTGAGCTGAGCCCCACCCATGGGCCTCTCCCACTCCTAACTTCGAGATTCAGTGCAGACCCTGAGCTTATCCCTCCATAAGGCAATGATTCCCAGAGAATCGTATGGCACAAAAGCAGGCTCACATACCAGTAAGCCTCACAGCAGCAAGCCCAGACCAGGAACAAGTCTATTTCAGGTTCACCAGGGAGAGTCAGGTGTCTGGAAGATGTTTGACCAGGTCAGGCTTTAGTTAGAGGCTAGCAGGGCAGAAAGAATATAGGTCTGGGGCCAGAGATCTCCTCTAGCCCTAGCTACAGTTTAGAGGACCAGAGTGAGAGCTGTAGAGGGAGGGAATTAACCCATGTCAGGGAAAGATAGGAAAATCCCCCAAGCCGCACATTCCCCACTGCCAACACACTCAGAATAGCTTCCTGTCCTTCTAAGAATTAAACCTTTAGGAAACTTAGGCCACTTGCCTATGTAAGTATGAGTGTGTATCCGTGTGTGCATAAGCACATGCAAACAATGGAGGGTGGGGGGTATATATTTGATGGGACTGGCAACAGGGGACAGGGACAGAGGGGGCTTGTCAGAGAGAAGGGATCATGCCAGGCAGAGTTCCCAGCTGACCTCTCTGCCCATGCCCCTGCTCCCCAGGGTTTGTTAGCTTTGACAATCCAACCAGTGCCCAGACAGCTATTCAGGCCATGAATGGCTTTCAAATTGGCATGAAGAGGCTCAAGGTCCAGCTAAAGAGGCCCAAGGATGCCAATCGGCCTTACTGATCTTCTCTCACTGACCAGCCACAGAAAGGTGAGTCCTTGGTGGACCCCAGACAGATGGGGCCTGAGTGATGGAGGCCCTGTCCGCTTTGATGTTCCTTTTGAGATGTCAGGAGCACCCACCTCTGAAAAAGTCTGGGAGAGAAGAGCCAGAAGCGAAGGAGGAATCCTCAGCTGGAGACTGATATTTCTCCAAGGATGGAGATGAATTAGACAACTTCCTTTCCCCACAGTCTGGGAGAGACAGCTATGGCAAGATCTAACCATTAGATCTACTGCAGGGATAGCCACAGAGGGCCATGGGAGTAGAGAAGTTGGGGGGGGGGGCAGGGCAGGTGGAGAATGAGACTAGAAAAGTCGGGAAGGGTCATGAGTTTGGACACTGGGGAGTTTAAGCAAAGAAGGGATAAGATGCGGGGGGCCTGGGATAAAGGCAGAGAGCATGGAGATGAGGAAAGAAGCAAATATGCTAAAGAAGCAGGGCCTGGTGGGTGATTGAGAGAGATGACAAACTCCTTAGGTTTCTGGCAGGTCCAGCTGCCTGCACCTTCTAGAGACCTGCTGTCTAGGAAGGTCCACATGGCCCTGCCTCACTTATGCTATCCCAGGGAGTCCTTTGGAGAGGGCGTGGGGCTGGAGTCATCTTCCCAGGAGGACCCAAGGTCACGTCAGTGGATCAGGCTGCTGCCTTGGCCCTGCGGCAGCTCTGCCCCTGGGGAGAGAGGTCCAGTTACTCACCTGAGATGTCACTGCTGGGACAGGCTGCTCCTTCTTGTCTTGCCCTCCAGGGTGACTTTTGCCTTTTTCTATTTTCTTTTGCTCCCTCTCCTTATCAACTAATACCCAACAACAGAAACTGAAGAGTGAGAAGAAAGGAAAGGAAAAGCACAGAAACGCTTGAGCAGCCCTTCCTGAAGGAGCAGCCACGGATGGAGGTGGATCAGACCCAAGGCTGGCGCCTGGGGCTCAGGCCACGTTAAGGATTGTTTTCACCAAGTGGGTTGTCCTGTGCCTGTGGCGTAGGGCGCAGGCTGGCAAGGCAGTTGGGGCTGGTTGAGGATTGACTGTCTAGGGGAACCAGCAGAGGGCCTTGGGGGTGCCAAGGGCTTCTCCGCAGGGGAAGCCCAGATTTACTTCTTTCAAAATCATATCATTCCTTAGAGTTTAGGGACCAAAGGACTATTGCTTTTTTAAGAATCTATATCTATATAAATTAAAACAAAGAAACAAAAAAAAAAAAAGAAAAAAAACACAAAAGAAACAGAAAGACAGTATAGAGTCTCATACAAGCTGCCTTTAAATATCCCTAGGAGACAGGGTGAAGGAGACCCTTGAAAGCCTCAGCCCAGGCAGAGGGAGGCTGTGGAAAGATTGTTCTGTGTCTCATTCCCTCTTAAATTGTCCCCCCCACCTTGCCTTTTTAAAACAATTAAAGACTTAAGGTCTAGGCTCCCGTGCAGGCAACAAAGAGAGTTACGGAAGCAGGGAACCCACAATCCTCAGACTCAGAGAGCATCTCTGAAGAGTTCCGTGAGGAGCTCTGGCCTGCCCTGGCCTTTGCTACCCTGAGAGGCCCCCTAGCCAGCTGGAGAGTCCTTCTTGACAGCCTTTCCCGTGGAACCACTGCTTCCCCAGACAGGAAGAGAGGGAGTTTTAACCACCCCAGCCTTTCCCTTCCCCATCCTGATAGACAGAGGCCCTGCCTTTGGCTGAGCCGAGACACCTCCTGTTTCCCCTCACCTTAAGTCAGCCCCAATGTCCCCTTGTTCCAGGCCACCTTCTGTCTCCAAGTCTATGTTTGCCCACCTGTAAAGTAGGTTCAGGATATATGTAGAGGGCCGTGACAACAGATTTGGGAGGTTTGCTATTGTATATACTGCCATTGAGAAGGGGGTACTTTTCAATATGTAGAAGCTTCAGAATTTAGAGGTCCCTCTTTACCCAGGACCTGGGAGGGAAGTAGATGTTTTGCCAAAATACTTCTTCATTCCTTTAAAAAGTACATCTTTCCTATGCAAGAGTGTCTCACATGTGCTTATCCAAGGTGCTTCTAGATGGTGAGCAGTGTTCAGCTTAGAAGTGGTGTGTGCTCTGTCTGTCCGTCTTTGTCTATCTGTTGTATTCAGTGGGTGCCATATAAAGCTGATCAATGGTGGTGCTTCCTGCCTGCTTCTGTGAGATGGGCAAAAGATTCAGCCTAGAACACCATGACTCACCTTGCCTTGGTCAGCCAGTCCTGGGCTTGCAGGGCCTTGCACATATTTTTCCCAGGAGGATCATTTCCCCTCCACCTCATAGACATGGAGCAAAGTGATCTGGGGTCCCAGCTGTGTGGTGGGCACTCTGATCCCCAGATGTGGCTGAGGCTGGAGTCCTCTGATCTGATATTACATCAGACAGTAAAGGGTGTGGGGGGTGGGGTTGGAGGGTTCCTCCTTCATAACAGAATCTAAGAAAACTTGTTGCCACCTGTTCCTCTGTCTTTGACTCATTTTTGGAGGGAATGGGATGAAAAATAGAGATGGTAATAGCATTACCAGGTAAGGTGCAGTGTATATCAGCCCATAATTTCCCGTCGGGAGGGGCACCAGTGTTGAGGGCATCGCTACACGAGCACAGCGCTGACACACAGACTGATCACCCTGGACAGAGGTGGACATATGGAGCACCTGCACCTTCAAACAGATATTCAAATGGTGGCACAGAGGCCTTTCAGTGCTAGGCGCTAAGCACTGTGCTAGGAGCTGGGTCTCAGGTGTATTATAAGTGCCTAGAGTTAGTGGGAAAGACAGGCCACACAGGGTGTGTAATCACAAGCAGTAGAGTATCTAATTCAGGCTTGATTGGGAAGAGAGGTCAGAGAAAGATTTCCTAAAGGACATGGAGGAGAGAAGGGTCTTCAAGGATGCATGGACATTTGAACAAAGCTGTTAGGACAGCTGCATCTTTTTGATAAATTATTTTTATTACCAAGAAATAATAATGATTACCGTGTATTCAGTGCCGATTATGTGGCAGCCAAGAGCCTTTTCTCATTCCTATCTCTATCCTGAACCTTAACTCACTACCGAGTCATATCAACACACTTGGACCAAAATGGCACTTAAAGTACTTTGCTTCATGGTTAAGAACTGGCATGGGGCGCCTGGGTGGCTCAGTCGGTTGAGCATCTGACTTCGGCTCAGGTCATGATCTCACAGTTCGTGGCCTCGAGCCCCGCATCAGGCTCTGTGCTGACAGCTAGCTCAGATCCTGGAGCCTGTTTCAGATTCTGTGTCTCCCTCTCTCTCTGACCCTCCCCTGCTCATGCTGTCTCTCTCTCAGAAATAAATAAAACATTAAAAAAAAAAAAAAAAAGAACTGGCAGACCATGTGCCAATGCTGCATAGGTCGGCAGGGGTTGGCAAACTGGCCTGTGAGCAAATTTGGCCTGCAACCTGCTTTTGTATGGTTTACACACTATGAACAGTTTTACACTTTTTAAAGGGTTGTAAAATAGAACAAAGAAAAACTGAATATGAGACAGAGACCCTATGTGCCCCACAAAGCCTAAAATATTTATCTGCTCCTTTAGAAAAAAGTTTGCTGACTCCTATTAGATCACAGAAGACTTCTACAATACCCAATGAGTTTGAACGACATGGTGTTTGTGTCTCTGTTGCGTGTGCATGTATTAGTCTGGACTCTTTCAGTTGCAAGTATCAAAACCCCAACTCAAAACTGTTTAGGCCAATAGGAAATTAATTGGCTTAAACAAATGATAAACCAAAGGATGCCTCTGCCTTCATGCATGACTAGGTCTAAGGGTTCAACTGATGATGTCTCCATCTCTTGGCTCTGCTTACCTCTATATGTCAGCTCACTAGTTCTAACTCTAACTTTCTAGGGAGGACTTTGGCCAGAAGGGACATGTGCCTGCCTCTAGGGTGGAAGAATAGGCCACCATAATTGAGAGCCTCACCAGGCTTATGTGGAAGGGAGAAATGGGTCCCCAAAGGAAGGTATGATGGGCAGATAAGCAATACACATCCACTACATTCCACCCCTTTATTGCTCAGAATCCACCTATATTTTTCTTGACAAACATAATTTCAAAAACGTGCCTGCCCCACAATGAAACAATCCTGGGCCCAACAAAAATGGGAGACAAAACAGAATTATGTCTGATTGCTTTACTGAACCTTCAGCACGGTGTCCCTTTGTGATGTGCAATTCTTGATCAGGTCTGGATATCACTAATGATTTTTCAAACTATGGCTAAAAGACCAATTTAGCTTCTAGTGCATAACCAATATGAAATGGGAGAGGGAGGGGGCACCTGGGTGGCTTGGTTGGTTAAGCATTATGAATTGAGTCATGACTTCAGCTCAGGTCATGATTTCTTGGTTAATGAGTTCGAGCCCTGCATTGGGCTCTCTGCTGTCAGTGCAGAGCCTGCTTCAGAAACTCTGTCCCCCTCTCTCTGCCCTTCCCCCATGCTCTCTCTCAAAAATAAATAAATATTTATTTAAAAAAATAAATGGGAGAGGGAAGTAGGATAATTTTTTTTTTAAAGCAAGAAAGAAAACCTTCCATCTGGAATAGGGGAGGAAAAAAAAATGGGCACTAACCTATAACACATACTACATCTTTCTAGACAGTGGAACAAGTTTCTTGGTTAATAAAACTGATTGCTCTTAGTCGTTCCCACTGGGAAACATCTCCTAGCATCCATTGTCTTTTATGGAAATCCCTCAGAGGATGCTCCTGGAACTGAAGCTCCTTCTGGAACTGTCTCCCTTTAAGACATGGTTTTGGGTGTAAGGATTGCCTTAGAGATTATGCATTCCCAGAGCCCTGTATCCCAGAAGCAAGGATTCTATGGCAATACAATCCTTTCAAACCAACTGATTTGATTCCTGGGCCTCTGTGAACTAGAAAGCATCATCAAGAATCTTCCTGAGTCCTTGTCCTTGAACCTGGATCAGGCCTTTGTGGTTTCTATTTCTAGGCAATAGGGCACACTTTGCCTGTTCCCCTCCCTCTCAGCTTCATGGCTTCCACAATGGTCTGTCTATGGTGGTAAGTCAATCTTAATTTGCTCAGTGCCGCCAGAGAAACATTATCTATTTAACACTTGGCTGGCTCATGATCCAGGTAGCCCTGACCAGATAGTCAAAATCCCTGAGTGGCACTTAACTCTATGCCTCAGCCCCAAGGAGAGGCTTAGGATACGAGTGAGGCAACCACAGAAGCATTCATTTTGGCCACGCTGCAGCTTGCTCTATTCCTTGCCCTCTGTCTGTGGTTCATTATTACATTGAGGCCACATCACCAAAGCAGTCCTAAGAGGAGTCTCCCTCTTAGGACATCTAATGTTCCCTTAGGACATTGAATTTGTGGGCCCTCTGAGAACTTGTATCACTTGGGGGCTGTGGGAAGCGTCTTCAACCTTCGGTGGGGCCCCTGGAATTTCTCTCTCCTTGGATGAAATCTGGGTGTCTTAGATTTAGGAAGAAAAGACCTTTAGTCTGAGATGGGGTGAATGACCTCTGACATTGGAAGCAGCTCTGGATCTGCCGTATGCTCTGACCAGACCTGGAGTCTCACCTTTGCCTCAGTGGAGCATAACATGCACCCTCCCAAAGAAGGTGCTAAGGACATGGAGATCACAGGATCTCTCTTGATTATTTCCAGCTTCAGTTGTAATCTTTGGGCATCCACTGTTCGGATGGTGCCTATCTGCATCATGGCAAAGCCAAATCTAGCAGGGACTCAGAGGCTGTTTATGGCCTCTGGCTTCCCCTCATGGCCAGTGCATGTATACAAGTATGTCATACAGCCTTATGCTTCTGGGATAACCAATGAAGGAAGAGACCTCATAGGCTCAGGGAGTTCAGAGCCAATGCAGTCTAAGTAGCTGCCCTTCTAGGCCGAGTCATGTGGGGTCCACAAAGAGGTGACCAAATCTGTGCCAAGTGCAAACCCAGAAAGGGCAGAGAGCTACTCTTTTTCTCCCCAGCCCCGCCTTTACACAGCGATGTCACAGTGTTCTCCACCCTCCAGCAGCCTGGGCTGATCAGAACTTTTGACTGGCCAGCCATCTGTAGATGAGATTTTGAACTTCCAGACTCTGGCCTCCTGCCTTCTAGTTGCCTAAGAGCAGAGACACAGAAGTCAGAACAGTCTGACTTTTCCCAAGAGAAGTGTTGGGTCCCCAGGAGAAAATGCAAGGAGGCACAAAGAAAGCCTGTGAAATGAGCCTCAGCTTCTCCTATGGAGTAGGCTAGAAATGGCCTGATCCTTCCCCACTCCTCTCCCGTGCCCTCAACCTTATCCTTGGGCCCCTGACAGGAAGCTAGCAGTCTGGGCTAGATTCTCTGCATTTGAGCAGGAAATCTGCTGTGTCCATAGGACCTTCTTGCTATCTCACTGTTGGGACTTAATGTTGGGACTGGGGCTTTGATTGTGGCTCCATGTCTTAATCCAAGTACTCTAGAAATCACAGACTCTGAGGTAAAGGTTGTGGTGCTCACGCTGTTTGGGGAGACAAAAGCCCAGGATGATGAGAGGGAAGGAGAGACATGAGTTGGGAAAGATGCGAAGCAATGCAAGACAACACATTATTTGGTCACATCTTCGCATGAGCCGTGAAGAGAGAACAGGTCACTTGACAGTGTTGTTTGCTAAGCACATGGTGTGTGCAAGGAGAAACTGCACCTTGGAGCAGCTTACCAAGAGAGGAATTGAGAGAAAGTTTATCCATTTGTGCCCCTCTCATTTCCTGTCTCCTGCTGGCCAATGTGCATCCCACAGAGAGGTACTTCCACTGTACTTCTGAGTTGCATCATTTGACCCCTAAGTGGGTGCTTGGGAAGTCAGATTCCCATGGCCTGCCATGTGGCATCTCTACCACGGATGTGGAAGAGGAAGGGCTGTTTAGCACGGGTGGGGATTTAAGTTCAAGAAGGCTCATGAGGTTTGTGACCGATATAACCTACATTTTCCCAAAGGATTCACAGCCAGTGTCCCCAGGTACCAGAATCCCCAGCACTGTCTGAATTCTAAAATTTCTTTTTTTTAATGTTATTTACTGAGAGAGACAGAGTGTGAGCCATGGAGGGGCAGAGAGAGAAGGAGACACAGAATCTGAAGCAGGCTCCAGGCTCTGAGCTGTCA